ATTAGTTTATATGTTCCAAAGTAAGTGATTTTATTATATTAATTTTTAAGGATATTCAAAAGAGAGAAATGGAACTTGATATTCTTACATATAATATCGTCATTCACAGGTTGTGTAAGGCTGGGAAGGTTGAAGATGGGTGGGATTTATTTTGTAGGCTCAGCCTTAAAGGAGTGAAGCCTGATGTTGTAACATACAATACAATGATCTCTGGGTTTGGTAGGAAAGGTTTGACAAAGGAAGCAGATGCCTTGTTCAGGAAAATGAAAGAAGATGGGCCTCTCCCAAATAGTGGTACATACAATACGATGATAAGGGCATGCCTTAGAGATGTTGTCCAAACCGCATCAGCAAAACTCATCAAAGAAATGAGGAGTTGCGGTTTCTGTGGAGATGCTTCGACAATAAAAATGGTCTTTAATATGCTTCAGGACGGGAGATTGGACAAAAGCTTTCTCGATTCGCTTTCTTAAACAATCCTTGAGGTACATAGTGATTATATCTCAATGCAATCCTTATTATTTTCATGAATATGTTTGATTAGCTTTCTGTTAACTAGCTAGTAACAGAAATTAATATGTTGTTGAACTTTTGATGAACATTTTGTGTTGTGATTTGATTTTCTTCATTTCTTGAGACATTCTCAAAGGGGGTTATCAAATTTGGAAACTTTCATCTTCTTCTTTTTGGGTGAATTAGAAAACTTCAGGTTGTTACTTTCTCCTAAACAAGAAATGATTTTTGATCCCGTGGCGATAAAGATATCAGAGTTACATCTGTTGACTCATCTACTTCTCTTTTGTATAGTTACAGTTAAGTTCTTTTTCTGGTGTGAGTGGTTACAGAGAGATATTGAGATATGGCTTTTGTAAAAGTTACATGGATCCTGTCTTTCTGAGAACTTACACGTTGATAATTGTTACTTATCATAGATCATGAAGTGGATTAAGGGAACCAATAACTAGAGCCCTCTAGGGTCTGAGTCTGATCAGAGCAGCGGTAAGCATTATTTGCTCATATGATCTAGTCATCGATCACTGTATAAATGACTGATTTGGTGTTAATGGTGAGGTTTTGATTTGATTCCAATGGCTGAATTTTAATTTGATGTTAATGGTGAGGTTTTGATTTGATTCCAATGATCTGAGTCTCTTTCAATAACAAACATTAACTTGCATTTTTGGTGATTTGCTATGTTCTTGAATGCTCTCTGGTTTCAGGTTCTTCTCTTCTTAGAGAATCAATAGGTAACTCCATCGAAGGACCTATTGATCTCATGGTACATTACCTTTTTGTTTTTTTACTTGCAGTGATGTTCCCATGGCGCAAAACATTGCACATATGAACAATGTATTGCGTTCTTCACTTGTATGTTTGTGCAACAACAAGCTGAGCAGGTGATCTAGTTCGGGGAGAGAATTCTTACGAGAAGCCAGCTTGATCGGATTTATAAAGACCCGGTTTTTGCTTTACTAGATGATACCTTTAGTTAGATTTATCTGTAAGTTATTCAAACACGTTTGGTCCCATATCTCTTGTTTCAAATGCAAAAGGTTTGTTACCTTTATACATCTGAATTTGTCCGCAAGATAGATGTGGTTTAAGAAAAATATTATTTGGTTTAAGATTTTGATTAAAGAAAACCTTTTAATCTGAATTTCTTAGTTTCACATTGGTTGAAAGGATGCCAAGTCAAGCTTGGTAGAAATAAGAGTAAATAAATTATATCTTTGAAACTACAAAATGAAATTTCAGGATGAAAATGACCATAAAAACCGGGCATTTATAAATCCGATTCAAATGAAT